GAAACGTCTTCCTCTAATTGTCATCTTATAGAGCTTTTCAAGCTCTACAAATTGTGTCTAGTCTCATAGCATAAACGTTGTTCCTTCACCCTGAAATTTGGTACTACATAAATGTGTCTTTCATTTTTGCCCAACATTTTCTACTTTAGGACCGGTCAAGTTTTTTTATAATGGACATATCTCAGAATATGATAGTTCATATGATAGAGAATTTTATTCTATACAAAATGGTCACAATTTCTTTAATCAATCTGCAGTGAATCACCCCTCAAAACGGTCCTTTTCTGGTATACCATCGATATAAATTTTGCTCATCAAGAGCTCATTAACTCGTTGACCTGTGATTGCGCATGCTCTTCGCTGACTCCGCCCCTGCGCTCAGACGCATTTTTATGGCGAAGTGCGACGACGCCTGTTAGGCCACTCCCCTGTCTTTCCCGACCTCAAATGCAAGCTTACCATTCTATTAAGTCACGTTCATCAGCAGTAACTCAGCTGTGATTTACGCACTGGTGCATGTTCTTGGAACGGCAGATGCACATGCATTTGTATTGTTCCTGAGAATGTTCCATGTACTGTAATGGAGCGTTGAGTGTTAACGGGTGATAATGTTTTTTTCAGGGTTTCAGAACAAAAAATGTCGTCGAAGCTAGTGCGTATATGTTCCACTCGAGCCTTGCATTATTCGGCTGCTTTAAAGGGTTAGTAATTCCTTCAAATTCCAGGTTGTCATTATTTTATTGTTCGCTTCTCAGAAATTATAATTTTTAACGTGTTCCTATTTGCTACGTAATATTGTAATTCACAAAATTTATTAGTCTGGAAAATTATACAGCATTGATGCCAGTTATTTTAGTGCTTCTCTATTTACGTCAGTTACAAGCAAACATATCTCTGTCTGAATTACTTCCACTTGTATTTCTAGCTCGAGGCCCCCTAACTTTCGATGGTTGGTATCCGAGAGACCATAAGCCTGGTGAATATCCAGAAAACGAGGAACAACAACGGGCAGCCGCAATCAAATACGGAATGCGACCTGAAGATTACAAGTAAATCGGCATTTGTAATGTCTGGCATAGACCGGTATTGCCGGCATCTCGCAATTCAGCTGACTGATTTTTCAATTATAGGCCAATGAATCAAGATGACGTAATAAGATATGCAGGTGACTATCCTGACATGGGTATCATTACGTTTGACCATAAAGATCCATACGAATCGTGGACCGATCGTCATCACAGGAGAAATTGGGGCGAGATGGTAATTTTTGTCCTATAAAGTTATAGGTAACTTAATACGTGTATAACGGTATGTATTATTGTTGCATTGTTGAGGTTTTAGGTTGGTATGGATATGATGCGTTATCGAGGTGATCGACTGACATTCACCGGATTAGAAGCTGAAGACTTCAAAATGTAATATTCAAAAATGCATTCTAAGTGCTCTCTATTTCTCGTCTTATTCGACGAAGCATTGCTCTCATTGCCACATTGAGTCACGTAATAAAATTTCATTTTAGAGATGAAAACTTTGTGAATATTTGCGCATTTTTTTGCATCTTTCCATTTTCAGATGAACAAATCATAATTCACAATCTGATGTGTATCAATTTAGAAATGCATATATGATTGATCTGTGCAGTTTAATTCACGTTAAAAAAATTTCATTCATTATTCTATCAAATCTTGTGTGCAAACTTTACAATGTTTGATTTAAATCTTACGATTAGAGTTCATAAGGATATGTGTTATTTTAAGTTGGAATACAATTTTGATGTATTTACGTGTGTTCGTTCCAATGGCGCTGGTTTCATGGTATATCTCTCGTGACGATCCAAATGCGTTGCGTTGGAAGAATCCTGTGGTCAGTTATAGAATTTATGGTTCTTGAAATAACAAACTTGTTGCACTTTGTGGTCCATCTTTTTTCATTCAGTTTTTGAATCTGTTTTAGATGCCGAAACAATATTCGTTTGATTATTATCGTGCATGGCCATGGGGGGATGCTCGCAACTATCCGATTGTGAATTACACATTCGAACCGCTTGAATGAAGCAATGCAATTTAGTTGGATGTAATTATGTTTTTAGCTGGTCATTTGTTTCTCATAGGCATTCTTGTTTTGTGAGGCAGTTCATCTACAATTCTTTTTGATTGTCCTGAACAAGAGTTTTTTTTGATCTTATTTAAATATTTTTTGAAATTTCGCTGATACATCTTAGACTGAATGAAATTCCAATGATGGAAATTTCTTAACGAGTCAAGAAATATATAAATGCCATTTCAAGACATATTTTGTTCCTAATAATTGTGATTGGCTGGTACAGACGCCGGTAGTAATAAATCCTATTTGAAAAAAGATGTGAAAGTTGTATATGAATCGTTTCCTTGAATGATTGAAGGTTGATAATAAAATATTTTATTTCGTTTTAAATTTCAACATCACAATGCATTGGTTGAGTGAACCATTCGTTATTGTTGCAAGCAAGTGCTAGTAAGCATTATAATGGTTTTTTATGAACGCATCGAGCATATCGTAATTAGCATTTTGATTTGAATGGCTTACTGGATTTGGCTCATTTTTGAAAAGTTCACTCAGTGCAATGGTGCCGGAACTAATCGGACAAAATAATTGTATTAAATGAAAATTCTCCGGCAAATCTATCACAACTCTAGCTTTCAGAGCATAATCGTGAGCTATTTTCGTTGTGAGAGTCAGTGGCGACAATTATGCACTAATTATCGAGTGGCGAAAAATATAATTTTGTGATGGAGTGACTACTAACAAAGTCGAACGAGCGGCTATCGAATGATCACGTAATCAACTGTAAGATTTACAGGATTTGTGAAGGCCAAGTGGATGCCGGAATAATCAGTGATCATTGAGAAGTTCATTTCAATTAGTCATGCTGTATTTAGAGGATTTTGTGGAATGTGAGTAATTTGTTATATTATTTATTTTCAATTGGCCGTATGTTTACAAGCGAACGAAGTTCATTAGAGGAAAGCATTATGTTGATTATAATGTGCGAAAGACGTTCAGGGAACACAACACAATTTGTTACCTAGGATACATCGACAATAATCGTACATTCATATACAATGCGAATTAATTTGTGAGCATTTACGTATGATCTCACGAGGGGAATTATGTTATATGCAAATCATAAGACGTTACAATAAAGAAGTAATTTCATATTTCAAAAGCTTTTAAGCAAGTCCATGTCAACTTTTTAAAGAGGTGAAATTGATGAATCCACAATGTGTATGAGGACGTGCAAATCTGATAAATCGTATGCATGTACAAAAGTGCAAAGTTTGCATACCATTTTTTAGTTTACGCGTAAATGTGTTAATTATATACATTGCGAGAACCATTATATATTCATTGATAGGAATAAGTTGTGAAGTGTTAAGTTTGTGTTTAATCGAATGGGCAAGATTAAGCATGATAAACGTGGATTGCATAAGTTTAAAGGTATTTCTGTAGAAACTATGAACTGGCTTAATAATTTCTGGAATTCATAAAACTTCTATGAATATTTGCACTAGGGTGAGTTTTTTGCACTGAGTTCTTAAGCCAGTGCATAGTTTGTAAAGAAATACAAGATGGGTACCTTTAAACTTGCGGTTCACGCGTCTGTTATCTTTCTAATCGAGATGTTACCATTTCGAAGAATGATACCAATAAAATTCTGAATTTCAAAATTCATGCATCACGGTACCAAAAAATAATTCCGACAAACAATTGTTCGATCAAATTTTTCTGAAGCGAAGGTTCACCAAGATTGTTCTTACATCAAGAAGCATCTTTTCAAAGGGTATGACCTACGACTTCCAGAATTTCATTTTTTCTCATTAAAATAATTGTCAACCTGGTTTGTGCGGCAACTGCATTTTGTGAACTGAACCAAATTTCAGTAATTGAGCAATTGCCTGCTGAGATGCGTGACAGGAGCACTGAGATTCGAATGCTTGACTTGCAAGTTCAACGTACGTGATTTTTTCTCTGTTCATCACAATGATTTTTGAACACAAAGCGACGATTTCGATTCTTCCAATGTTTTTAATAATTGGATTCACCTCTCACTGAATTTATTTCAAACTTATCTGCAGTAAAACTCAATCGTTTATTCATCCTGCTCGTTTTTCCCTTTTTTCCTTGTTGTTCTCAAGAAGCTTATCAGGTTTGATAATTCTGTTAAATAATCTATTCCATCGATCAGTTTCTTGAAATAATGAGAACAATAATTCTAGGAAGCATCGATCAGACAGCAAAGGCTGCGAAAGAATTTTTCGATCAGGCTCCGAGTCTTTCAAGAGAAGAGCAGAATCGCCGTTATGCGAAGCTTAAAGAGGTATCGTTAGCGCTTAAATTCTCTGATATATTTTCAATTTAAATTTAATCTATTTAAACTTAAAATCTGACATTTAATTTAAAACTGTTAAACTAATTCAAATCTTTAATATATTTAATTTATTTCAATCTTTTTCTTTCTTAATTTTGAATTCAAACCGTTCAAAAAATCACCTAAAGTATGTAAGATGTTAATCAATAATATCTGTTTGTCTCAAATTTATTATCAGATTTTTTATAAGCTTAAATATTCCACTTCATAAGCCCTCATGTGGAATTTATGTACTGTGGAAATTGAGTAAAATTTCTAAAAATTTGCTCTTGATAGGAATACAAAAAAATTCGTGAGCAAACAGAGGAAAAGGTGGCGATCGCGGAAACTATGTACACTTTACTGGAAAAATACAAACAACGATTGAACAAAGAAGTTCTTCATTTTAAGTATGAATTGGAGGCCGATAATCCGGGTATCACGGAGCAAATTGAGAAAAGTAGGTTCATGCTGCCCACTTCACATGCTTTACACTAAGTTGATTTTTTAAAAGGCTGTCGTCAGAACTAAGGAACACACTTTTTATTAATCAGTGGCATCACACCCAACCAAGAGAGTTGAACGATGCAATTCTAATGGTCTTACTAAGCTTATTATGATGAACATGCGGTACTTTATGCACTGCAAACATAAAAGCAGAAAATACTTCAAATTGATCTATTGTGGTTGATCTTGTATAAGTATGACTAAAACATATATGTATGACTAAAAACACATAGTGAGGTTTTTAAAAATATCGATATAAATTGCTATGTGTAATTTGAGGAGTCTTCATTCAAATGCTCAGTGCCTCCCATAATAAATTGATTTCCATTTTCGATCTTTGTTTTCTTACAGAAATTATCGAAGCTGAGAAGATGCTACTTATACAACGCAAGGAAAGTATGTTGCCTCTTTTTTTTGCAATTATTTGTTTATCACTTAAAGTTCCATTGGGTAAGTGAATAGCGACTCCCTTAATCAATGGCCTAATTACATTTTTACGATCAATTTTCATTAAGATTTGTTCACCAGTTTCGCTTTCTCGTGAAGTTTCGGTTTATAAAAGTTTTATTTTTATTATTATTATTGTTGTTATTATTGTTATTATTATTATTATTATTATTATTATCATTATTATTATTAAATGTTTGCTGGTATGCAGGAAGGAGACGTGGACATGATAGCACACATAATTCGTCGGCAGTAACCAATGGTAATTTGACAATAAACAGAGCAACACCGTCACCAACGCTATCGCGTTCAACTCTTCATAAGAGTTCGTTTTTATTTGATTGTCGTTCTCATCAAACGCAATATTTTTGAATTGGAACAATATTCGATTGTAATGAAATGACTACAGACCTTTTGAAAATGTTTCGTTCACCATTTAATGTGTATTCACTAAAAAACAACTTGCGGGTTTTCTCTTGTATGACTGAATGCTCAACTTTTGATTTCGAAATGGTTCGGCTTTCATGATTTTGCGTATTCTTTCATCATATTAGCGTTTTGATTGAAATTCAGCAAATGCGGCTGTAAGCGCACTCGAGCCAAACCACCTCGATATGGGTGTTTCTGCACAAAGTAGTTTTACGCAGCACGATGATGATATGATGTCGGTGGGAAGTTCAGTGGCCAGTGCAATACCGCGTGTTCGTGGCCCGTCATGCGCTCAACAGCGTGATCCAGATTTACCCCCTCTCAAGGTGACCGTGGTGAGTGGGCAAACATATTGGGTTTCTCTGTACAGTTCAACGATGTTTCACAGTGCATGCATGTTTGGTGGAAATATTCTAATAAAGTTACTTTCTTGTTTCTGATTTCGGGATCTTTTGATACGAAATATACTGAAAGTATTCTGATTAAATACGGTATTTACCTGCTCGTTTCGGTTGAGCTCAGTAAAAATAAACCATCAATAAGTAAATCAAAATAAACTGAGTAAAATCAAATCAAAATAAATTCAGTAAATAAAGTGAACCAAAGCCGATAAAATATTTCATTTCTAAATCAGATGGTCATGTGTACTTGATTCATTCGTTATGGTTTGCTTGCATGAAGATTTCTTTGTTTATCGTTGGAGACATTGAAAAGATTCGTTTGATGAGAATTAAACGAATATTTCTATTGAATTTGTGTTGTTTTACTCGTTGTTATTAATGATGTTCAGAAGCGATCGGCCACTAATCCCAAGCAGTTAATTGCGATCACCAATGTTGCCTCATCACCAGCTCTTTCGTCTCTTTCACCATCGTTAAGTGAGAAAGGTGAATTGATACTATCTTTCGAGTACTTTCATTCTGTATCTCGGTAATTAATTATCAATCTTTGTATTGCTTTCGCAAATATTTAATGTAAGCGTATTGGTTTGATTCACCAAAGAAACATTCCAAGTTGAACAATATTCGTTATTTGCAATCATTGCAATTAGGTACAGTCTCTATCAAACTCCAAAATATTCTTGCCGGTATATTGATTCTCTGAATTACTGCAAGTAATTGACAATTGAATTCAGGTAGCGAACGTTGGGCATGTCCGTCAGCTTCATTAACTCCTCCTGTTCATTCGCCAGTAACTAATTCGAAGCCATCTCATCAGGTACGTTATCGAACTAACGTAATATTGCTTAATCAAGGCGCAACTATAAGAAAATTCACTTTATAGAGAATCATTTTTTTAATGAAATATTTGGGAAGTCTTTTGTGAACATTTTGAATATTACATCAGACGAAATTGTTTCATTTATCCAAAACTACAGGCGTTTCGATTATTTGATTTTCTTGCACTTGCTTGAAATTAACTATAAGCGGTACGTTTTCGCTGTTTAAGGAGTGCTACGAAATCATATTTTCAGAATTCCACTCTGAATACATCAACTTCCTCATCAAATGTTACCTCGCTCACAAGTGGAACGTCGATGCTAACGTTTGCTGGACAAGAAAGTAGACACGGACGACCAAGAAAGTAATATATTTGATAATCTGATTGCTTGCTAGTCAAATGAAGTTTATCAATGAATATGAGTAGTCGCTGTTTTTGAAACAAACAAATCTTAATTTTCAATTTGAATTAATTTTGATGAATTCCAAAAGAATGTATGACATATGAGGGAAATGGAGATTGATTCGAATAATTCAAAGTTTTTTCTTGTGTTATATTTGAAATGCTTTACTCGCATTCAGGTTAACGTCACGCGTGCAAGAAATGCTCAAAGATACAATGCAGCGTCACGAGCGACGTATGCCAAGTCATCATTCACCTGACCAAGAAGACGGTTCGGAAGGCGACGATTCAGATCATGATAATGACAAGCGTACTTGGTGCATTTGCAATCAGGTTTGTTCATCTGTTCATCATCATTTTCATACTTTCTTTAAGGAGGTTTTTAGAAGATTCCCCTGCCCTCGTTTTTGCTCTCTTCTTCTCCACCCTTCAACCTTTCATCTCAGGAACGGTTCGAATTTACCATGAATTCTTATATCATTCATTTGTTCAATACATATGCATGTCATCTGTAAAAGACCTCCCACCCTGATGAATGACTTCAGTTTATCTTTAAGAAGTGACGACAGTGGGTGCAATCTTAATCATATATTCCTTTTTTTGGGGGAAGGGGGGGGGGAGTGTGTGTGTGTGTGTGTAATGTCTATGCAAATGGAGTATTTCCCAAAATCGTTTTGTTTCATGAGAATCGATTTCAGAAATCATATGGTTGTATGGTCGCTTGTGACAACAAGTCATGTCCCATCGAATGGTTTCACTATGATTGTGTGAACTTAACGCAACCACCGAAAGGCAAATGGTTCTGTCCACATTGCTCACAAAATAAATTACGAACAAATCTTCCGTCTACTGATAATTTTTAATTGTTTTATGCTTTATGTCGCATCAACATTGTTCATCAGCGTCTGCGGTGAATATTTTCAAGTTTTTGATTTCATTATATAGTGTTCAATTTTATTCTTTTATCTTAAATTTCATTCTGTAATATTCGCTCTGTAATATTGAATTATAATTCGTACCGTTTAAATTCATCCTGTAATTGCATCTTCACATTCTCTCGTATACGATTTTTTGTGCTTAATTAGTGATGCAAAAATTGTACCATTTAGCATTTTCCAATTATATCTCACGAAATACATCTAAGAAAGACTGATTTTTTCTTGTTAACTATTGTTCTAAATGTTTTTCCTTTATTTCTTCTTTAGTGATTCCTACCTGGCTTGTCCTTACTTGCTGTTTTGCATTGTATTTCTTAATGTTCGATTAATCAGATTCTTATACTTTTTAAACTGTTAACTCATAATATCCTGTACTTTCTTCTGCCTATCGATGTGTCTCACCGCTTTAGATTCATGCATTCTCAACTTGTTGAAATTTGTTCCGTGTTCATATTTTATCATTTAAATACTCAGTTCACTTTATATTCATTCATTGAGTTGCTTGTTTTAAACGTATGCTTTCATACGCTTGTTTTGTTTCAATTTATTGGCCACTGCTTCAATACTGATAGAAATGATTACATTGTTAGTGTTATGAACTTCTTAGTTTTTATCGTATATTAGTGCAGCACGAAAGGAAAGAAGTCAAGGAGCGGAAAGTCGGGGACTTCGAAAATGCGGTCACCTTGAAAAAACCGAGGACGGGGAACTTCGGGTAAAAACTCAATCTCGGGGCCGTCCTCGATCCCTGAATTTTTTAAGTTGTGAACTGGAGTCACAGAAGCTCGAAAAATGGAACATATGTTGAAAAAGCGTCGTAATAAAGTAATTTGTAGTATAGCGAACAGATGAAAGCCATGTCATAATGCGGTTTCAACAATAAAATTGTAACGAAACACACGGAAAAATGAGCTATGCACTGTTTCTGGTAAGAAGAAATAAATAACAGTTTGGAATGAAAATATCGTAAATTTTTTCCTCGCATCACAGATATCGTGTATGTTTGTCATTATTACTCACGATTAGTAATATGAATGCTGCTATCCAGAGATACGCATGCTATCGAAAAACGATAGCGCGATATTCGCTGATCTGCTTTCCTAAAAGCTATTCGTTATTCGTGATCGCTATAATCGCCAAAAAAAAGTAGCGAAGCGCTATCGCTGATTCGCAAATTAAGCAAAATTAGTCCGCTATTCGCTATTGCTACTTTGGAATTTTCTCTCAAAATTTGCAGTTTCACCACTTATTTGCGTGGAAAGAAACCTCATTGCTATGTTAAACAGTTGAAGATTTTTATTGAATCATTCAACAATAGATAATCATTCCGACAATAAGCACCAGTCAATAACGAAACAAGCTTTGACAATGAGAAAATAACCAAACGACGACAACAAAATTCAAAGATGAAAAGCAGTCAGTTGGCAACAGCTCACATTACACTTTCTCATTCCTTCTTAAGAAAGTCAACATGCTAAGCATTTCGTCTGAAATTCTGGATCGTCTGGACCTTATCGTATCGTCTAACTCAGTCTACGAGATGAAAATCACCGATCATTACGCCTATACACGGAAATGATTGTGAAATGAATCTGCCAAACTACCATCCCATCGTATTATCCCGCTCAAGTTCTGAAGTTCTGGGAGAAATAACTGCAGCGAAACTGACAAACCATTCTACAATGAATGAGCTGTTTTCCCGTTTCCAATGTGCTTTTCCAGATAGAAAATGAATCACTGCGGTTCCATTTTGATGCTAACAAAATTGTATCTCTCATTTAGACTACACAGTCTACATCGACACTACATATTTCGATTCTAAAGAAACGTCTGACTTGGTATCCAAACCGAAATTAAATCTGACATACGGCATAGGAGATTGTTTGGACAGTTGATTTTTTTTCGATTTTTCCTCGAGTTTCTTTTCACTTTCCTGTTCTTACTGAAAGGTGGCTTCTATCAAACTCAGTATGCCTGTGGTTGTGAGCAGGATATATGCTAAGAATTGGCACATTGTTGGGATCCAACTCGTGAAATCATCTCAGTTATAAGATGGTGAGCCATCTCCTTGTTGATAAAATCGGAGAAGACAAAACGCTGTTTAACTTATGATGTGACTGTTGATGTAAACGTGATATCGTGGGGAAGCGACTCTTATTGACGACAACCCGTTGTAAAGGTGCGGTGCAGGAGTGGAAGAGGAAAGATCTTGACATGATCAATCTGAGCTCATGCTCGGGGACAGCATCCATTTGCTGGTCCGTATATTTATGCATGTTTGTACTTTTAATGTTGAGGTGTTTCAATGTTGAGGTGTTTTAATGTTGAGGTGTTTCTTTTTCTTTTCCAAATGGTCATTTTTTTGTGTTATTAAAAGTCAATTATAAAAACCCTCGGTCGTGTTTACTTTAATTCTTAAATCAACTATTGGTGTGAGGGATGCGAGAACAGTTTGAAATTTTTTTTTGGGGTGCGGGTGAAAAAAAGGTTGAGGATCAGTGACATTATGATTCGACCGTGGTATAAGTCCTAGACCCAACGGCTTTTCTTCATCAGTCAGCAATCACCAAGTAAGTCTGTATAGGAGAAAGTATACTTGAAGTTTTGATTGCCAAAGAAACCCATCCAAGAGAACGCTGAGTTGATATAAACTACCGTATCCTCTATACAGAACGCCACCTTCCCCTCTACCTAGGAGGCCACTTTGACGTCTCTTATAATCACGCATGTCATCGTTATTCGTTATGAACGTCTGTAACTTCTTTGACTTATGCATAACCTGCATACCATCGAACGCAAGTGCCTCAATGATGTGAGGTTCTAATTCACGGGAGCATCACACCTTTGCCATAATGTATATAAATGAATAAAAGAAACTTGGTTATATAAAACACATTGAAAAAATGATAGATGTTTTCAGTTGTGCTGAGGGGTCTTTTTACAAAAGTCATTCTGAGCAAACGAGATATGGGTTGTTAGAAGTTGAATAAGCTGAGTGAGCTGAGGTGAGTAAATTCGAAGATTTTACGAAACGAAAAATTTTTTCACGAATATTTTCCGTTAATTACATGTTTGGAAATTTATGTGTTACGATGGAAACCAATAAGGGCGAGATCTTAAGCATCAGCTATCTGAACAAGAAAATGAACGAATGACTTAGCTCAGCTACAAATTGCGCTCAGTAAATTTTGAGAGCACATCGGTGACGAACGTCACAAATCCTTGAAAATGATACGTGCTTCGTCTTGAATCTATGAACTGGTAAAAATGCGTCCCTTTATGTGTGAGAATTTGGAAGCAATTATGCATGATGACAATGGTGATGTTAGAAACTTCCTTTTGAGTAGTACCTATCCCAACCGGATAACGATGTCAAAGAGAAGTGATGAAAGATGCTAATTGTAGGAAAGGAGCATCTGCGCTCTTGCAGCGAAAAGTCTTGAAACTGGTCGTCGATTCTAACTGAACTTGAGAGCACTTCTTTAAGCAATACCATGAAATGAAGGTTAAAGTGAACACGGAATTAAACTCAAATTGTTTTGTTAACTGCAAGTCAAATTGTTTTCGTGCAGCTGGAAATTTCTAAAAAAACTTTTGTTTTCCCGAGCATGTATGGGAAATTAGTTAAACTGAAACTAAACATGGCCTGAATTGAGTTGAAATCTTTGTAATCTTTCCTTCACTTATCGTTTTGTACCGGTTTAGATGTTCATATGAGAGGAATATTTATTCCAGATGGAACCAATACTCATTTCGATCTACCATGTTATTAGCTCAATTTTAGCTGGGAGCACACAATATTTGATTGGATATTAAGCGATCAAGAAATATTTGCTTGCAAAGTAATAAAGTGACTACAATCTGTTATAACCGTGGGGTAAAAAGGGACCGTAGTAAATTTGAAGCGGAAGAAAAATTTTGAATGCAAGGGTTAATTTTTGAAAAAATCTGTTTTCAACATCGCAATTGATTGCACTCGTCCCAATAAAATTAAAATTCCATGAGAAGTTGGGCAATTGCGTTGAGTCGCGCGCCATATGTTGATAAAGAAAGCGAGTAGACGGCATATGAAATTGACAGTAAGATTTACCTTAGGTAATTTCTGAGTGATAATGCGCGTAAAATTGCTTCAGGACAGTCGTATCGGTGTATGTTCAGCATTACTTCGTATCACAATAAAGAACATCAACGAATGGCAGCTCATATCACGGCAGTAGCAATATTGTTGATGTGTTGTGTTTATTTTCAATCGTTCGTTCATATTTTATTCCTATGTGTTCGTTTCATTCGAACACAATCAAATATCATTCTGTTAATCGATGCAAATTCGTGTTTATGATTCAATACAAAGCTGGAATGTGAAAAAGTTGAGTAATTGATGACTAGATGAATATTTCTTTGATGGTGTCACTTGTTGTTTTTCCTTGTTCTCAGTGCCGCAATCGTTTCATAAATCATTCGCAGTACATCAATTGAATATTTTAGTGAAAATAACTCTTAAATGATATTCGTTCCCCTCTTAGAGTGATTGGATCTCGAAG